CTTTTCAAAAACATTGTTTCATAAATAAAAATAAAAAAAATGATAAGTTTGACATGCATAACTGAACCTCTTTCCCCTCGCTACCTCCATGCTCCTCTCCAACTCCAAACAGATGCTCACAAGAGTGCAAAGGAGGGGTTCTATGAAAGACTACGGAATCCTTTGTAGAATATTTTACCATCTATAACGCATACAATGAGAATGGCCGCCTTCCTTTCAGCTGTCACTCACAGCAACAGCTGATTGGAAAAGGCAAGATGCAGCAACAGAAGTTCACAGAAACAATTCAAAATGACTGTCCTTTGATAATTTGTCCTCATATTCCCTTTGATTCGTTTCTATATCTGATAAATTTGCAATTATAATCTTGAGTACCTGCTGCCGACCACTGAGATCCAGCTGCCTCCAGAACTGAAAGTCTAAGCACAGGTCACGCCAATATTTGCAGACAAGTGATGCGGACAGACAGCGCTCGATCAGGGATAAGTTAGAAAATATCTGTAAAAGAGAAATTTGAAAGTGTTATTTAACTAGAATTCAAATTTGTTGAAGGACAACGGTCTCCTCAAACTTTCAATATAATCCTTGCTTCAAGTTGCATTCAATAAATATATACACACACTTTTTTGTTGTTAAATATATGTTAAAAAAAATAAAAAATAAATCATCCATACCTTTAGTATAGGACAGGATCCTTAAGCCATATACATGGACCATTGGGCAGCATTTATTTGAAAAACGACAGTCTCTATGGTGTAATAGAGACCATAACAGTTGGGTTTCAAACACTGTATGACCAAAGGTGCATGTACATGGCTGAAGGATCCTGTCATATACAAAAAGGTAAAGTTTAGTTTTTCTATTTCTTCTTTTACATTTACTTCAAAAAACTTGATTAAGTTTCATTCAAAACATTATTATATTACAATTTTGAGGTGACATCCTTTAACTAGAATCAAAAGCATAAGTTTCATTTAATTAGTTTACGTGCCACATTAAACTGAGAGTGACCACCTTTCTCTTCACTTGTTTTGTTAAAAACATTTTTATTTTGAATATCTTTGTCTTACACAGGGAAATTTTTGTGGCAACTTAACAGGTCTTTAACATATAAGGCCTTACAGCAATCAATGCAGCACTACTGCATTCTTGCCGAGTATACGCAACCCAGTCCAACCATGTTCTTTAGTTTACGCACTCAAATGGTGAAAATCTTTGTAAACATCGAAATTAAGAATTTAGGAAAAAAAAAAAAAAAGTAATTTAGAAAGACTCCTTAAAATAAATAAATAAATAAAGACAGTTGAATCAATATAGCTTAACCAACACTAACGCTCTTTAGCTGATTCAGTACACCACTCAGGCATAATGCAAGAATAATGCCAAGACACCAAGAGACACAATAAATACCCCTCTACCAATAACGTCACATTGATCCATGAATGAATGTGAATCGTACGTTAAGGCCAATATATATTTTTTGCATTTAAGCTTCGAGCTTGAAGGATGTCATTTTTGCATTTAGACCTTTTAAAGTGGAGGTGGCATTAAGGAATTTTTATCTATTTTACAATACAAAGCATGCCTGTCTAGCTGGCAAAACAAATTATTGTGCTTCGTTTATCAGTTTGGTATTATTTTATTTTGCAAGTACACAGGGTAGTTAGAGGCCACTTACAATTAGGGAGAGAGGGAAAGGTAGGTATGATTTTTTTTTCATTTTGTGTCAGAATGGTTGAATATGCCCTGGTAATGTCCCTTGGTTTGGATAGATTATTGCCAGTGTGCTTGGTACCCTTTTGGCATTTACATTTGCAGCAGAGGTTATATATCAATGAAGAGGAGGCAGACAAGCAAGCTGACATCCATTGAACTAACCACTGCTCCTGCTTTTTTTGGGGTAGTATTGACTTCTGGAAGTATTAACCCCTTAAGGACACAACTTCTGGAATAAAAGGGAATCATGACAGAATATTTCCGTCGTGTCCTTAAGGGGTTAACTTATTACCCACAGCACACCACATTAGGGAAGCCCAGGAAAATACCTGCCAAATTCATTTAACCACCTCACCCACGGTATCCATGCAAACTGCACCTTAACCACTGCATGCTACCATCTGGGATGTGGAAATGAATAGGGGCTTAAGCCATTCATGGCCACTATGAGACACATGGGGCCCCTTTTCATTGGTATTAAAGAGACTGGAAGCACAGTAATCAATAGGACTTAGTGTTTTGGTTATGATGCAAGAAGAGTTGTCCTATTTTCAATCAAGCCATTTCAGTAATTTCACAGAAATTGTGTCACATCTGGTCATCTTCAATGTGTTATTCAGAGGTGTAGATTCAAGAGATGTGGTGATAATGTTGTTTAATGGTCCTTTTTTTCTATTACACCGTTTACCGAATTAAGTCTCTGGCTCTTTCCTGGCAATGAAAGATCTGAGAGACCTTGCGATTTTGTATGACAATCCTGCCATAAGACTAGTTATTAGTGCGTCTAGTTTCATTGCAGCCAGTTAAAACAGAGTAAGAAAAGCAAAAGTTAAATCGTTATACTGATAATTTAAGTTAACCCATTTAAGGTAAAGGCTTGAACTCCACAAATCTGTACAAAGAATAGCAAACTGCTGCACATAAATATTCTACTTCTAAATAAAATGTTAAATCATGCAATTAATGACCGGACGACAAATTTTATAGCAGCAGAGTGGATTTGATTTAAATCACTAGTCGGTGCAACCAGTTTTCAGATCAGTTTAACAGTTATATCAGAACAAATTTTGCTATATATCATTAGATAATGATGAAATTATTGGACATAAACTATCTCCAGATCACATATATGTTTGGAGATTTACTTTAAGAACACCAACATTATAGGGTTCCTCTACCTATGGCAATGTGTGTACACTGATTTGCAGAATAACCACTGGATTACTTTTTATTCAGAACTTTTTATGTTTATTTTGTAACAAGTTTGCTTTGAAAAAGTTCATGTTATCTGCAGACATAAGTTCAATTAAGCAGGGAAGGGTGAAGGAACCTATCTTTAGATATTTTATTCCATCCATAAGCATTTAATTTATAATAAATAAAATTAAAATAAAAGATGCCTCTGCCCACCATGCTTTCTCTAGCTGAATTTCAGAAACCGGATGTTAATGAAAACGCTGAAGAGCCAACTTTGGTGTTGGACCAGTTGTTAACGGTTTAACTCCTACAAGTAAGTAATCAACAGGGACCGGTTTGCACCATAACAACTGAACTTTGATTAGGTTGTTATGGTGCCCTAACAGAACCTTTAACATGACATACTTGCTCATGCACCTTACTGCTATAGTATAAGTGTGCATGTAAATGTCGTAGTATTCCACAGGACCATATGTTGATGGATTGGAATTCTAAATACACGGTTTCAAGTTTTTACTGCTACATCTATCGTTCAAACCTGGACTGCAAAACGAAAATGTATATTAAAAGACAATCCAAAGGTTATAACCACAAAAGAGTACTGTAGGTGATATGGTGCTGGGAAACAATACCCAAACTCTTATCTTTCATATCCTTGCGATCTGTAAGATTTTTTTTGTTTATCATTGGCACCTGCATTGAACACTACCAGCATCACTTCCCCATTGAAGCCATCTAAGCATTTGGAATGTGTAAGCACGTCAGTCTTTCTGCCAGAGCTGTCCTGGAAAATGTACACATCAAATCTGTAAAAGAAGTGCTCATATGGCCATGTCCATTTGTTTAGATAGTTTGAGGAGGAAGCAAAAATTCCCTATACAAAGAAAGTGGGGTAATAAAATATAAGCTGTCAAGGACAGTTAATCAGCAGCATAACCATTGCTATGAGTGATTACAGTGCTTGCAGAGTCCTTTAAAAATAAATAAACTCTATATGTTATAGTGTGTTCAAGTGTAAAGGGGCAGGCTTCAATGCCTTGTTGGTATGGTAACACCTACCCATGTCTATTTAAAGGGTACACTAAATTTAGAAACCACACTGAGGACAAGTTCTCCCAGAAGCTTAGTCCTCCTCACTGCAGAGGGAGGGACATCCAAGAGAACAATCAAAGCAGCCATTGTTCGTCTGTCACCAGCATGCTATGCATGCTGAAGAACGGCTACCTTGCATGCACAAATGTAACATTAGCCAGCCCACAACTCTCTTCCATGCCTGCTTTTCATACTACCATACTTGGTTACTCCTCCAACAGCAAAGTTCATTAATTCTGTATGTGCAGCAAAATGAAGTGGTCATAGTGCTAGGAGTAATTCTTTAAAGTGGCTCTGTCACCATTTGGGGGCTTTGCCAAATTCGTAAAGTCCCCCGGTGGTGACCGTGCCGCTGGTGGTCCATTGGCTGGGGGAGCAAGTAAAGGTAAGTTGACTTACCTGAACTTGTCCCTCACAGGTACTGCCATCTTGGTCCTCTTTGGCACCATCATAACTGCTGTACTCTGGCACAAGTATGGAGGTCAATTCCATACAGCCAATTCCCTGCAGCTGACAGCTGGTGCGAAAATTGATTATTAGACTCCATCTTGTGTCAAAGAAAGTCAGGTGGAGGAGAAATACAGAGACAAAGTAGTGCCTACTTTGTCTCTGTATATCTCTTGACTGGGTTGGAATTTCGATGAAATTCCAAAAGTCATAATGAGTATTTCATAAAAGATTCTAGCTTTATGTAATACTAAATTGTTAATATGTGGGTGACCTTGCAGCGTTAATCTTCCTATTAGGCAAAGTAATTTTATGGCTACTCCTTTCTACCACCTTATTACATAGCTAGAATCTGATGCTTTATACATTACTCCCTGTTCTTTCAGAAGCTAAATTTGAGTATCATCCCAATAGATATTAAGGGCTATTATGCAAATCATGTTGAAATAGTGAGGAGACTAAGCAACAATTGGAGTATCGTGGGTTGTCATACTACACCATCCACTTGAAGAGCATTCACTTTTTGAAAGTCAAATTTCATGGCACACTTTATGAGATTTTGTGCAAGAATGAAAAAAAAAAAAAAAAATAATAATATCATCAGAAGGAATATATTCTCTTCACAGAATGTGACCATTTCGGGAATTGTTTTGCAGGTTCCCCCAAACCCTCTTATTGAGAGGAAATATGCTGCATCTTTATTCAGTTTGTAGATGACATTCTATGTAGCATTTGGTGCTGTCCTTCCATTACCCACATCCCAACGCACCAAAAGTAAAAAGGGGTTTTGGTGTGAGCAGTGACTTAACGTTCTCGACAGTCCGCCTCACCTTAAGCAGAATGGATGAGGGCAACTGGTGAATATGAAACTGATCAGTCTCCTCCTCCTGGGTCTTGGGCTTAGGCTCTGGGATGCAGCTGTCCTGGGGCTTGAGCTCTGGCCCTGAGGTGCAGTTCTCCTGAGACTGTGTGGTTAGGACCCTACGGCACTGGGGCTCAACAGTGTATGGGCTTATGTCTTGCGACTGTAAAGTCGAGAGTACAGCTGAGGGGTCGCAAGTTTGGTACGGCACAGCCAAAGAATCTTCATCCTGCGACCGTACAGCCAGGGCGCCATCCTCCTGCGACCGTACAGCCAGGGCGCCATCCTCCTGCGACCGTACAGCCAGGGCGCCATCCTCCTGCGACCGTACAGCCAGGGCGCCATCCTCCTGCGACCGTACAGCCAGGGCGCCCTCCTCCTGCGACCGTACAGCCAGGGCGCCATCCTCCTGCGACCGTACAGCCAGGGCGCCATCCTCCTGCGACCGTACAGCCAGGGCGCCATCCTCCTGCGACCGTACAGCCAGGGCGCCATCCTCCTGCGACCGTACAGCCAGGGCGCCATCCTCCTGCGACCGTACAGCCAGGGCGCCATCCTCCTGCGACCGTACAGCTGTAGCGCCATGCTCTCGAGGCAGAAGACCTGCGGAGGTGCCTGCGTTTTGAGGCTGTGCGGCCGGGCAGTCTTCGTCCTGCGAGCCATCTCGAGCGGTGGCGGCCGGTACACCTCCATCTTGGCCCTCAGCTCTCAGGACGCCGGGGGGCTCCTCGGACGTGGCGCTGCGGGGGAGCTTGCAGGGTCGCTGCGGCCCATCGCCGCTGTTCTTCCTCTTGCACACCATGTCTGCCTGCGGGGGGGACACTGGGCACAGCAGGCCGGGGCCCCTGAGCAGCCCTGGGCACAGCAGGCCGGGGAGCAGCAGGCGGGCGGCAGGGAGCTCGGGGGAGGCCGGGCTGGGAGCTCGGGGGCGGCAGGGAGCTCGGGGGTCCCGCTGGCTGTGCTGTACGATGAAGCAGAGCATGCACGGCCCGCGGAGGAAGCAGTCCCTGGCCGGCCGCTGCTGCTTCCCCCGGCTCTCCGGAGTGTGAGCGCTGCGCTGCCGGCACAGCCCGCCTCCCATATAGCAAGGCCGGGGAGAGAGAGGGCGCTGGGTCCGGCCGGCTCCTCACTCAGCGCTCCGGACAGGATCGGCTTTTCTGGTTACCGCCGCAGTGACGTCATCAAAACACAAGCCGCACGCAGAGATGCCGTGTTCCTATTGGCCGAGCGGTGCGGCTGATGGCGTCATATCCCGGCGACGCCTCTCGCCGTGCGGCGGGCGTGAAGTCGGCGGACATTTTTGTTAGTGGCAAATGGCCCGTGTCCGTGTCTGAGTAACCATGGCAACAGGCTGCGCTGCACTGGGGGAAACGTGCCCGGCTTTAATATGGCTGCCGAGGAGCTTTCACCAGGAAATGAGAGTGCGCCGCCTTGTGGTCAGTGTGTGCAGCAAGGCTGGCAAAGCTCTCACTGTGACAGCTACTGAGTCAGACATAATACAATGGGGGATCCTACTCCCAGCCAGCCAGCCAGCTCAGGCATAATAAAATGGGGAGTCCTACTCCCAGCCAGCCAGCCAACTCAGACATAATAAAATGGGGAATCCTACTCCCAGCCAGCCAGCCAGCTCAGACATAATAAAATGGGGAATCCTACTCCCAGCCAGCCAGCTCAGAAATAATAAAATGGGGAATCCTACTCCCAGCCAGCCAGCCAGCTCAGACATAATAAATGGGGAATCCTACTCCCAGCCAGCCAGCTCAGACATAATAAAATGGGGAGTCCTACCCCCAGCCAGCCAGCCATAATAAAATGGGGAGTCCTACTCCCAGCCAGCCAGCCAGCTCAGACATAATAAAATGGGGAGTCCTACTCCCAGCCAGCCAGCCAGCTCAGACATAATAAAATGGGGAATCCTACTCCCAGCCAGCCAGCTCAGACATAATAAAATGGGGAGTCCTACTACCAGCCAGCCAGCCCAGACATAATAAAATGGGGAATCTACTCCCAGCCAGCCAGCCAGACATAATAAAATGAAGTCCCTACTGCCAGCCAGCCAGCCCAGACATAATAAAATGGGAATCCTACTCCCAGCCAGCCACAGCCAGCTCAGGCATAATAAAATGGGGAATTACTACTCCCACAGCCAGCCAACCAGCTCAGACACTTAATAAATGGGAGTCCACACTCCCCAGCCAGCCAGCCAGCTCAGACATAATAAAATGGGGAATCCTACTCCCAGCCAGCCAGCTCAGACATAATAAAATGGGGAATCCTACTCCTAGCCAGCCAACCAGCCCAGACATAATAAAATGGGGAGTCCTACTCCCAGCCAGCCAGCCAGCCGGCTCAGACATAATAAAATGGGGAATCCTACTTCCAGCCAGCCAGCTCAGACATAATAAAATGGGGAATCCTACTCCCAGCCAGCCAGCCAGCTCAGACATAATAAAATGGGGAGTCCTACTCCCAGCCAGCCAGCCAGCTCAGACATAATAAAATGGGGAATCCTACTCCCAGCCAGCCAGCTCAGACATAATAAAATGGGGAGTCCTACTACCAGCCAGCCAGCCCAGACATAATAAAATGGGGAATCCTACTCCCAGCCAGCCAGGCAGCCAGCTAAGATATAATAAAATGGGGAATCCTACTCCCAGCCAGTCAGGCAGCCAGCTAAGACATAATAAAATGGGGAATCCTACCCCAGCCAGCAGCCAGCGAGCCAGCCAGCTCCAGACATAATAAAACAGAATCACTACTCCCCAGCCAGGCAGCCCAGCCAGCTCCAGACATAATAAATGGGAATCCTACTCCCAGCCAGCCAGCCAGCTCAGACATAGCAAAATGGGGAATCCCTACTCCCAGCCAGCCAGGCAGCCAGCTCGAAGACATAATAAATGGGGAATCTACTCCCAGCCAGCCAGCCAGCTCAGACGCATAGCCAAAATGGGAATCTTACTCCCCAGCCAGCCAGCCAGGCAGCCAGCTCGAACATGTAAAATGAAATCTACTCCAGCCAGCCAGCCAGCCAGCTCAGACATAATAAAATGGGAATCTACTCCCCAGCCAGCCAGCCAGCTCAGACATGTAAAAGTAAGAGTCTACTGCCAGCCAGCCAGGGTACACCTCCAAAATGGGGAATCCTACTCCCAGCCAGCCAGCCAGCTCAGACATAATAAAATGGGGAATCCTACTCCCAGCCAGCCAGCCAGCTCAGACATAATAAAATGGGGAATCCTACTCCCAGCCAGCCAGGCAGCTCAGACATAATAAAATGGGGAATCCTACTCCCAGCCAGCCAGGAAGCTCAGACATAATTAAATGGGGAATCCTAAATTTCTATTTACTGTCACACATCACATTCACTCAGAATTCACATTAATTGTCAGAGTTCATAAACAGCGAACGGCGGGCCATTGATATCAATATCTCATAGTGTTAATAATAATAATCAATCTGAAAACACACCGGGCATTAATCATGTTTTAATCTGCCACTTTGTCATTAAATTTGAAATACGGCCGGACAGAGAGGAAGACAGCGGGGGGCGGGGGTGGGGGTGCTGGGCGTCAAAGCTCACCCCTCGGGTTACACTCTCCCCAACCAGTTAAACCCCTAAAGAAGGCAGCCGGACAGTCCTGCAACCATAACAACTTAAAGGGACTCTATAGTCACCAACAACTACAGCTTAATGTTCGGGTGTCTATGTCCCTGCAGTGTCACAGTGTTTACATTACTGTCTAGGGACACAGTCACTGTGTCTTGGCCCTGTGGTCGCTCTCAGTTCACGCCTCAAAAGTCCCGAAAGGCTATGCCATCTATGGCTGAGTCTGCATTCCTGGGATTCATCCTACCGAATGCCGGGCCGTTCGGGTGTTTCAATTGGTACTTCCAGCCGTCCTGGAGGTCTCAGCGGTGTTTTGGTTAGCCGAGTGTCCGATTTGAGTTCCAGACACTCGACAACCAAACACCGCTGTTCGGGAGTTTAAGATGGCCGCCGCCATGTGTTCGGCTGCCGAAATGGCGGCCACACAAGGGATATAACAGAGCATTCAGCTGTTTGAAGTAGGGGAATGTAATAAGCAGGCAGGGAGGTAAATTACAGCCACACTTCATACCAGGGTGGTCCAGTTGTTCGGCACTTTGGTTCGTTTGGCGAATACAGCGTGTGGCAAACCCTGCCACTTGGACTAATTATTCTGTGTGAATAGGTGTATTTCACCAAGGGAATAACCACACGAATTGACTTTCATGGTATTGTAATGTTTTTATTCAAATGTCTGAAACTACCGAACGGGAGACCACGCCGGGGTGGTCGTGTGTTTCCCATTAACAGAGTGATACATTGTTGCGAAGGGAATTAAGTACCTGTATGTGTGGCCGTCATTTCGCCTACCGAACACGTGGAGGCGGCCATCTTACGCACGAACAGCGGTACTTGGTTGTCGAACGCCTGGAACTCAAACCGGGCATTCGACTAACCAAGCACCGCTAAGACCTCCAGCATGCTCCGACAATACGAATCTAACACACGAACGCCCCGGCGTTCGGTAGATAGATTCCCCTAAACGAGGGGAATCATACGAATGGTATCAATCGCATGGATGGCTAACCGTTCAGTATTTGTGGTTCACTGAAATAGACCGACCACAGGGCCAGAATGCATGGAACTGTTTTCGGCTACTGAGTCCCTGCGGTCGGTCAAATCTTTAACAGTCTGCAACTCCTGAACCCATGGTCCGATCTGGGTGAATTTCAAGTATGTTGCTCACCCAGATCAGACCTACCAGGGGACCCCTTATTTGTCCCTGTACCCCATGTATTTAGGGGACATCCAGAAAGTGGGGAAAACTCTGTCCCCACTAATCTGTTTAACTGTTAATCTAAGGGGAGGAGAGTGAGGAGAGGTGACTGAGTTACAATTGGTTACTGTACAAATTATGAAAGTTACCTCCCTTGCATGGGAGAAATGCATAAAAGCAGACCTGTGATTAAAGCTATCAGTTGACTCCCAGACTATGTGTCGTCTAGTCCTTGGGGAGGTGGATTATGCTGTGTTCCTGTGACTTTGTATGCTGAATCTTTGTTCCCAGCGGAGAGCCCTTGGATTAACCCCTTCTCCTCCGCTACAATTGGTGGCAAGCGATGGGATTCAAACCTCACAGCAGACCGTTGTTCGGCAGTTACAGCCATTCGTGGAAATTTGCTATTCGTATGGAACCGAAAGGAAAGGGTATGTGAATATACCCGAACGGATAGTGAATGGGGACAGATTATACCAGCTTGAAACGGGCCACGCTAAAAGAGCTATTAGAAGCAAGGGGAATTATTGCCAGCAATAAAGCCAAAGCTACCCTTATTGCTGAACTCATGGAGGGAGACCAGGCAGCTGCTGCAGCACCTCTTAGGGACAGCACACAGAATGAGTTTGGAAGAGAACTCCAAAGCAGACTGGCCTTTTTCCCAGATACACCTCCCAGAGAAACCTTGGAAAGGATTATAGCAGATGTTCACGAATACCTAATAGCAAAGCAGCAGGCAGACCGGAGGTCCAGAGAGGGGTCTCCAACCTCACCAGGCAAAGTACAAGGAAAGCCTAAAATTCCACACCATACTTTTAAAAGTTATGTGGAAACCGAGGACATTGATGGCTACCTGCATGACTTTGAGAAGTTATGCCAACTACACGAGATTGACGCTGCTGACCAGGTACTCCTGCTGGTGGGCAAGCTAGCGGGACGGGCAGCAGAAGCCTACCGCACCATGCCAGACAAGGACAGCAGGGATTACCAGAAAGTAAAGCAGGCGATCCTGACCAGGTATGCCATCACTCCAGAGGCATAACGGCAGCAGTTCAGAGAAAGCCGAAAGACGGAGAGAGGTACCCACATGGAGTGGGCACACCGTTTAACTAGGGCGGGCAAAGGATGGGTACAAGCAGCGCAAGCAACCACAGTGGAGGATATGCTACTGTTACTACTACTAGAGCAATTCTTCCAGGGATTAACCCTGGATTTACAAAACTGGCTGCGAGACCGGAAACCACGCACCTTAACCGACGCAGCCAGGTTGGCAGACGAGTACCAAGATGCCAGAAGGGCACAGCGGGCACAGTCACGGCCCACCTCGGGCGCTGCTACCACACCTCCCACTGTTAACCTCACCCCATCACTGCGTCCGGG